TTGACGGTGGTCGGTTCTGGGTAATCCAGAATGGCCGCCACTTTGGTCCTAAGAGGTCGAATGCCTTGAGCATCGATAGTGTGTCCTAGGAAGTCTAACGAGTCGGTTCCGAATTGGCATTTCTGAACGTTTACAGTAATGCCATGTTTTTGTAGTCGTTCGAAAACAAGGTCCAGATGCTTGAGATGTGTTTCTCTGTCCGGACTTGCGATTAGACAGTCATCAACATACGCGTGTACGAAGTTGAGACCTCGAAAAACGTCGTCTATGAATCTTTGGAATGTTTGAGCAGCATTCCTTAGACCGAAAGGCATTCGCAAAAATTCATAGAGTCCGAGAGGAGTTATGATAGCTGTTTTCGGTATGTCGTCAGTAGCCATAGGGATTTGGTTATACGCTTTAACCAAGTCGATTTTCGAAAAGACAGTTGTACCTTTCAAGGTAGCTGTCAAATCGTGAATGTGAGGCAACGGGTAACGATCGGGAACGGTTTTCGCGTTCAATCGCCGATAGTCACCAGTTGGACGCCAATCGTTGCTGTCCTTTTTAGGGACCATGTGCAACGGAGATGCATATGGGCTACTTGACGGTCGTATGATTCCTAAATCTATCATGTGATCGAATTCGTTTTTCGCTAACCTTAGCTTTTCAGGAGCTAGTCGTCGTGCTTTAGAGAATACAGGTGGTCCTGTAGTCGTGATGTGATGTGTAACATTGCTGGTTACACACGGTAATCTTGGTTGCGTTTGTTGTATCCCAGGGTACTTATCGAGTAGTGGTTGATAGAGTGGGTCTATCATATGTTTAACTGTGACTGGGGATACTCTACAACCAGTGAAAGAAGTTACGCAAACGGACAAATTAGTGTTTCCGTCTACTAGCCTCCGTTTGCGCGTGTCGATGATAAGATTATGGTGTTGTAGAAGATCCATACCAATGATTGGCATAGAAACATCTGCAACAACGAAAATCCAATGGATGGGTTTGCGTAAACCCACGTTAAGGTAAACGTACCTTTTGCCATACGTAGCGATCGGTTTTCCGTTTGCCGCCTGTAAGTTTAGAGCCGAATCTTGAAGCCGATCGTTGGGATTCGCTGGGAGAACGCTAACTTCTGCGCCAGTATCGACGAGGTAGCGAACTCTCGTTGTCACATCTGTGACGAATAACATACGGCTTTGTTCGCCGGCTACGGTTGCCGTTAACGCGTGCCGGCTTGGAAGTTTCCCGAATTGCTTTTCGAATCAGTCGGTTTCGTGTTGGGAAAATTGCAGGGTTTTCTGCAGTTTCTGGAAAGCTTTCCATACTGGTTATGATACCAGCACCAATCGGGGTTATCTGTCTCTCGTGGTCTAGAGACAGATCGCTTACGAGAAATGCTTCTACGTGGTGTGCGCGATCTCTTACGGTCGGTACGAAGACTAAGATAACGCGTGAGTGTGTGACATAAGTCGGTTATATCATTCTGAGTCGTTTGAGGTTTTTCTTTGACTGAAAATACCTCGGTAGTAGATTTCGTAATTTCTAAAATGCGGTCGGCAGATGCAGCTAGCTCTTCTAAGGCGTTGTTCTGGAACGAGACCAGAACTGCTTGCACCTGTTGGGGAAGTTTTGACAAGAAGAGTTGTTTGAATAGACCTTCGTCGAAAGTTCTTGGGCCTATTACCTCTCTCATCCGTTGCAACATGTCCGTCGCAGAACCGTGTTGCAGGTCGATATTGTTGAAGAGTTGATCTAACCTTTGTCGATCAGTTAGATCTCCTCGTTTAAGAATCGAGCGTTTTAAGATTTCGTAAGGATCGGAAACATCACTAGTAAACATACTAGGTGTTACGTACCTGTTGAATTCGCGCGGTAGTGCCTTGACTACTGCGAGGAATTGTGCACGTGTGTCGATCACGCCGTGCTCGTAGAAGTCGGCTTCTGCGTAGCAAAACCAAGCTTCGATGTTGTCGGGCCAGAAAGGCATCAGTTGAAACGAAGGCGGGGATAAAGTCTTAAGCTTGAGTACTTTAGGTGTCTGTTCAGTCATGATGAAGTATGAAGTACGATAATGAACGAGGGGAAAATACATATATATCCAAGAAAAAAACACGAAAAAAATCACAATGTTTAAAAAATAAAAAAAATAAGGCAATGATATATAAAAATCCCAAAAAGGAACAGACTCACAGTTGCAATTAGGTGTACCAGATCACGTCGGGCTCACCAATGATGGTGTCACAGGTATTCAGTGTTTGACAACGCTTCTGCCAGTAACACCTTCTAATGTATTTCGTTCCCGCCCAGAGAAATCAAAAGACAGAGTCGAGGAGATCGGAAGAGTATATTTGGCGATGACCAATATATCGGAATTCTCTGATCTAATCTGGCTAGCGATTGCGGTTGATGTTGAGCACGGCGTTGCCACACGTGATCTGGTGCGGATGCAAGACCGAGCGCCTTCAGCTAGATGAGTCCACTAAAACATATGGTCAGCATCCAATGTCGAAAACTTAGGGCTATTTATTTTGGGGATTTATTTACCGCTACAGTGTGACAAACTAGCTAACGTCGAAGTTACATCTCATGTTCAGCACCTTACGTGGACTCTCAACATTCAATATAAGATAAGAAGAAATATAACACCTATACAAAATAAGGAAGTGAATGAATACTTGAACCATGCTGTTTTGGCATATGCTTGGTTGTTTGAAGTCAACTCTTAACCGACCAACCTAAGCTGTTACAGACTGTTACAGGTACTATAGATGCTTTGAAGACTGTACAACATAGAGGACGTTATTACTTAAAGTAGATGCAAGCGAAAGTAAGACCACTGCCTCATGGGCCAGTCCATGACATACGATTAACTGATGCGCGCTGGTTGTCCTTGACCTTGATGAGGATCGATTATTTGTTCAATATTCAATGGCCGAACTGCCAGATGATTTGTCTAGGGTTTAGTGACATTTCTTTGGCCTTACAAGTTCGTGAAATCAAATTCAAACCTTATCAAGAGTGCTGTAAGACACCGAATCTTTACCCATTAAATCATGGCCGTTTCCTAGGTGATTTGTCAAATTTATTAAGCTAAGGCTTCTACTCCGTTCAGAACCATTCGAACTATCATGGTTGTTTTCAGATTTGAAAACACATTTATTCGAAGGAAGAATCATTTGTTGCATCATTGTGAGTTGTCCTTGATATCAGCATCTGTTTACATAAGGTTACATCGTATTTATTTTAACTCATTAATACCCATTTATAGAGTTGAGCGGTAGGTTTGTTGCACTGTGGGCTTGTGGTGTCGGTTATTATGTTAAGTTCATATACCTTATTCTAGCTTTCGTACAGCCCATTCTGTTCATTCTACTCGATTCATATCAATCTTGACTTCTTTATTTGAGCGCATATGTATGTGTGCACTTCTAATCCCATTACTCATTACATGTCTGTAACTTATTTGTGTAACTATAAATATTGATTAGCGCTTGACTAAAGGGAGTTACCTTACCTATCATTTCCACTGCCAATCATTTCGCTTTTCTCTCTATTCTATTCGCTGCATCTACAAAGTATATGTATTCAACAGTGCATTCTCGTTATTTGACTTATCTCATTCCGCTATTGACGAACACGATTTGAGTCGATGATTATATACGAGGATAGGCGATAACAAACATTCATACGATCTGATTAGAGTCAGATCCACGGGCCACTAAAGTGGAGAGCCTGTCAACAAACGTCCGGTCTAAATGGCGACAAAATAACGGGCCCCACAAAAGGTTGTTCGCAAATAGTTTTTCCATTAGTAGTCGAATATCTTATGTTTTTAGATTGAAAATAAAAATTGTGCTCACTGTCTTGGACCGTAGTGTCTTTACCCTCATTGAGTACTAAACACTGACAACATTTTTCTACTGTCGTATAATAATACATTACTAGAAAAACATACTAAAAGATGCCTAACGTATGTGAGTAAAAGGTCTTCGACGTTTGGTAATTTTTATCTTCAAGCTTGGTTATTTTCTAAGATTTGTACATTCCCAACCTCACTATCTTGGGAAAATCTTGAGGTTTTCCTCAAAGTCGTAGAGGATGTTAGTTCTCCCCAAAGTTTGGGAAGATTTTGGGAAAATATAAGATTCTGGGTGAATATTGGGGAAAACTAAAACGTTTTGGAGATTTACCCAAAGCTTGAGAAACTCCGGAGTTTTCTGTAATAATTTCCCCAAGATTTACCTAAATAGAAAATTTCCCCTAAAATAGGGAGATTGAGTTAAAACCGTCCTGGCAGTTTAAATGTCATTCGAGCACTCACTCATAAGTGCTGGGGAAAAAACGAAATTGCGAAAAGTTTTGGGGTTTTATCAATTAATTTTGATAGATTTCCCCTAAAGTATTATAAGAATCTGGGGAGATTTTTTTGGCAATTTCCCAAGATCTGGGGAAACGTTTTTGGGTTTTTGTGCCATTTCCTTAAAATTCTCCATAACTGCTTCCTCAAAACGGACAAAATTTTCCGCCAAATAGGGGGATTAGGGTACACAGCATCTGTGTGCATCTACTTGTCAGCCAGATGTACAACAGCATGATCAATCTGCTGAGAACTGGGTGAACCCATTAAAAAATCTGCCAAGCTTTCTTTGTAAGCCCGTCATTGGAATCCTCGTCTTGTTCATCCTGTGTAACAATCTACTTATTCAGTACAAATGAATTTAGGTCGAGACTGTAATTTGTGCACATGCTCAAAGTCAACTTAGCGTCGCTCAAAAGTCATCCATAAATTATGGTCTCACCGAATTTAGTTTTCTTAACCGTCTGGTCATGGCTTATTGTTTTTAGACAACTGACGGGGTTATGGGTTGTGTACATATATATCAAGGCTTAACAGTGGTAGCAGTTGCATTCTAATCGAAAAGGTTTAAATATTCTAAGTTATTTTTTCAGATTATTCTCGAGTCGTCTGTCTTCTATCACCTGCTGACACTCTTGAAGAGCAACCAATCTCTGCTACAATGCCTTGTATACTTTATTGTCTTTTCTGGTTTTATTTCCTTGCGGTCACCTGGTTCTTTTGGAGTTCGGTAGTGTCGGCATGTTTTAAAATCCAGATTATCCAACACTTGTATATTTCTATGTTGGATAGACTGTTTTCCGTACGTTAAAATTATTTCGCTGATGTATACACATAGTACGCCGCCTCGGCTGTCACAGTAAAGGACGACATTAAGAGAATAAGGAGTGTTGACAGTTTTGAAAACCTTGATACGTATGGTTGGTTGCTCCACTTCAGTGATCTCTTGCTTCAGATGATGATTTGATTGAAAGGGACATTCAACTAACTGAAGGAGGTGTAAAGGTTAAAGATCATCTTGTTCCAGATCAAAAAGGATTCAGATTATACTACCCAACCTACTTAGTTAAATGTGGGATAGAGGTTTGTGGCCTCTTACAAATTATTGTCTTAGGCTATTATAGAAGATTCTGTCACCAAGAGATTCACAGCTGCAGAGTTAAGAGTATGGAATTTCTTGAGTCGCAACCAGAGTTATGTATATGCCAAGTAGGTGTGTTCTTTTTACCATTCACTTCATAGGAGAGATAACCATACCACCCTAATGATGCTATGGCTTGTGGGCCTCATTGTTCGCTATGTAATATTCCTGCCGTGCAGGTAAGCTTTATAGTTCTCATTAATTCCTCAGACTTGTTGTTTTCCTCTCTTCAGTTTTCTTAATATGGATTTTAGGCGCTGTGGCTCGGAAGCTTCCTCCTTCACGGTACTTTCACTTTGTTACACTCATTTATGAAGGTTTAAAAACTGGTTATCTACCGAAGGAATCCAGGCAGCCGTACGGCTTAATTTGTGTTCATACTCCGCTGTTATTCGTTTCCACAACAGGTTTGTTTGTTTAACCAATTAGTATAATCGTTGACCAATTACTTTTTCAAAAAACCGACGTATATTACCAAGCATTCGTAATCATCTTTTTAAAAATTATGGAAGACTTTTTGGCATAGGACCACTTCTTAATAGCTTCTATTAAGTTATAGACTTTTTTTGTATCTGGGATGATGGTTACGGGATCGACCCAAATAAACTCCGGAAAACCTCTTTGAGATGCGGTACTAACAGTGATAACTTATCATGTTCATCGATTATATTATTAGATAATGAAATGCTCTGTCATCAAACCTAGCACATAATTTCATAATGGACTTCGAGCCACATTCCCAATGTATGAGTTGGATGTTCTGTTCAGTTTCCAGTCACAATGGATTCATTGGTTCTCAATCCCAGTTTCTCCATTAAAACCAGAAGTTTGAAACATGCGTAAATCTGGTTGGTAAATACGAAAAGTTCACATAAAGAAGTTAACAAATTCTGCTTTCGAGACAGCGGTATATATGGGACCAAAACATTGAAACAATAGATGGTGTTTGGGCTAAACTGAGACACTAGTTATATATATATCTGCGTTGTTTGACGAAAACACTAAACTAACACATTTTTGATAATTGTTCATAAGGTGTTACAATTACAACTAAGAGTACTTAACCATATCATTTCGACTGTCATTGGTTAGGGTATAGGTATTTGAAATGAAGTTTGATAACTTATTATAATCGTAACTAAAGTTCATACGTTTGTTCGCATATCCTAAAAAACTTTGTTTCTAAGTTTGTTCATAGTAAATTATTACACCCAATTATTTTATGCTGTTAGATATTAATCGTATTTATGCTTATTATCTTTTGTATAGAGAAAACCGCCCTAAAGCAAATACAATTTGTGTCGCCAATCACACGACACCGTTTGATTGGTGCATTTTGGCCTCAGACGTTACCTACGCTGTTGTAAGTCTTTTCCATAGTTTATTCTGTAATTTTATTTCACCATTTGAAGTTATTTTGCTTTGTATATTAAACAATAGTGAACTGTGTCTAAGTGTGAGAAATGATTGAGTTGTAGGCATTGGTTATTGAATTCCCAAAGTATTGCCTCTCCGAGTAATATTGATTCTTGGTGTAGAGTACTTGATAAAAGGAGAAATCACTTGTCATCCTTTATCAATTAAAGTGGTTGTGATTACTCTTAAGCATCCACCTACTCTGAAATATAGTGTTTGCTTACATAAGATTATGCTTTAACAGTCTAATATTAGTCAAATCAAATGTTTAAAGTTACTTCCAACTTCATAAATAATTATCAGCGACCAGATATGATAATTTTGTACCAGATCAATTGATTAACCTTTTATTCTATTTGCTATACTTATTTTCCACTCTATAGTAACTCCTGCGATTGAATAAACTCATCTTAATTTCAATTGATGGGTTGAAATTCAGATTAACTCAGTTTGTGTTGTATTTTTCGAAACTACTCATATATACATGTATCCAATCGCAATTTTTTTATGTAGTTAGGACTAGTGTTAACAAATTTCTCAGCCTGAAATTAAGAAACAAATCCTTAATTGTGAAACTGATCACTGAGTTTCATCATAGTTTGGTGATTTATTAAATCCTATCCATTCTTTGACTCAATAGGATGTCAAAAATAATAAGCTTCACTTAAAACGCAGAGTCATTTCATTTGTGGCAAGCCCATTTGGCCACTGTATCACTTGTCTATTCATTGTAACTCAGACTCTTAATTCACTATGTTAATTTCGGTGTGTATGATCGAATGCATGTCTGTAAATTAACCCTTAAGCTATCCTCCTATTGGTTTCAATGTGCAGATAATCGATAATTTATCCACACCCGATTAACTCGCAAAAATATATATGGGTTTTAAACAGACACACACTCACTCACTCTGTTTCATCGTGTGCTTGCTCACCGTACGCTTGTGGATTTTTATTAATCATTAACAATAAACTATCTCTATAACTGGTGTTCAGGCTTCTCAATAATCTCGAGTAAATTCGCAATTCTACTAGGAGATTAAGCCTACCTAAAATACTCAGTTATGGGATATTATTTATTGGAGTCAGATATTGAGGACATTAGCCTTCACATTACAGGACATCTACGTAACATATTTTCTCAATATCCTTACCGGATAGAAGCTTATCAAAAAGCAATATAAAATAAACACTTAGTTATTGTTGAGATAACCTTATTGGCTGCTGATATTAACAACAGTTCATTTTATCCAATTAGTTCACAATTGAAAGAAAAAAAGTTGGAGAAACGTATAAATGTTACTTATGATCAATTTTAGACTTCATTAGGTTATTAAGACAACATGAATTACTGTAATAGAAAACCAAATAAGAAATATATCTTCAAAGATTCTAAAAATATAACAACGTAATTAATACAATATCTCAAAGCACTTGGAGGAACATCTTATTTCACAGAACCTAATCTTCAGCAGTCAGAGGTAAAATATTTGTTCGGTTAGAAGCCTGCTACTTTTCAGTCAAAGTAATCACACATTCACTTATGATCGACCTTCAGCTACAAAAACGAATAAACACCTAGCTTATTTGTCCAAATCACTAACAGATATGTGCCGTATAAAAATATAACTGACATATTTAACTTAGTCATGGTGTAATATTGTCTTACATACATCTACATTTCAAATGTATGTGGTATACTGATTATGGTTCAATATAACTAGTTACTCATTTTTACAAAGTATTCATGTTTGTGCTTAGTTTTAAGCTGCACTCCTTATGTGTAGACTGGTATTACTAATCGACTACCCCAATCGTAGTAGGTAGGGTGAGTTTCGAACGTTTAACCTACTGTGGCAAACTCTACTCTCAAGGTTGCTTTAATTAGTATATAGCGGAACGTGGCCTCGAAGCTCTCGCAGTTATCAGACGGAAAGAAGAGTTCCTGCACATCAAAAGCAGAGCGTAGGCAGAAAACTTAAAGACTAGAAGAGAAAACAGTTCACATTTTAGGACACACCGCAAGGTGCAAATGAATGGCAGAAGGTTATGTATACGTATTATTTAAATGCTGTTTTCTTAAGATACACATAGATTCCTTCTGTCCATTGTCTTGTTTTAAACTATCACCGATTGAGAACCGAGTTCCATTATTTCACCAATTTCGAGTGGTAGGCAAATGTTATTGCGTAGCGACAATTTAGTGGTCAAGAGATCCAACTTTCTGCCACCACGCCTCACTTCACCCAATTCAGTTTGGGCAACCAGTTAATATCATTAGCTCCTTACATTTAGTCTGGCTCATATAGAAGTACATCTGGTGAGTGAGATTACTTTTTCTATATTATCATTTATATTACTCTGCCGATACAACAACAAATTATAAATGAATACTGAGTGGTTAAATAAAAAAACAATTGTCTAGTTCTTTGTCAGTTTTGTCTAGTTAATTAGGTGATTTCTACAATATTCGTAAACCTTAAATATTAGCTATTATTTTGTATAAATGACACTATCCTCAATAGTTTTTTTCTTTTATTCAGGTTGGGCAAAAGCATGGAGGATTTTTTGGTTTTGTTGAACGGGTAATCTCGTGTGCTGTGCCTGCCGTTTGGTTTGATCGTGAGGAAATTTTAGATCGTCTTTCTACAGCTAAAAGGCTAAAAAACCACGCAGCTACACCGAATGCTGAACCTATTCTAATTTTTCCAGAAGGTACTTGTATCAACAATACATCAGTCATGAAATTCAAGAAAGGTTGTTTTGAAGTGGGCGCTGAAATTCATCCTGTTGCAATCAGAGTATGTATTGCTTTTTAACAAAAGCTTCCTAAGTATATATATATATATATATATATATATGTTTTGCTGTAGTCAGCAGGAAATGTCGAACCTAGGTTTCGTGCTAGCTATCACTCGTCAGCAAGAAGTGCCTAAAATCTTCGGGGAACTGATACTCCCTATGGAATTATAACTTGCTTCCCCCAGCTTCGCATTCTGAAATGTTACTGTAGAGCTATTCTGACCTCGACTTATTTCTTAATGGACTGAAATATTTACATTGACTTATCAATGAATATTGACCAATTTCATGTTTGTTAGTCCTTTGGTGCTAATCGAATTCTGTCGGTCAATTGTTTGACCATTCAATAAAAATACTGTCGCTAGAATGCTTATACGTAAATAAGGTCTTCTTTGTAAAAGTTAAACTTTATACTTATCGCTAATTGTGTTAATAAAAATTAATATACATGTTCTCTTTCAGTTTGGGCACCCGGGCAGTATCACAGCCCTCACACATATCGAATGAGATTTGTGTGGCGCATATGTATTTGGTGCCTCCTTGTACCAATATCTATGTGTTAAAATAAATAAATAAATTCAGTATTTATGGCTTAACTGCTAAATGCACAGGCTATCAAACATCCTCACTCTTTGCCTCTTACCACTTTGACTTCAATTTGTTGAAATTTTAGTTCTTCCTTTAGTGAAAATAAGTAAAATGTACCACTATTTGCTATCTGTTATGACCATCAGATACTCATAAGTCGTTGCTACAGTTCAGAATACAACTGGATAGCAGTTATATGTTCTGAAAAATAACATGTCATTGCATTTTAAATCCTTGCAATATGTTTATATATGTTAGATTGTCACATAGCGACATATATAACAGTTAACTTGAATCAAATTCTTTGACATGGTAACAACTAACATTTTCTATTAATAAGTGCTGTCACAAGCTCAAACCCATTCATTATCGCTGACAATTTTGTTTGCTTTCACTTATCATTAGGTGTCGATCGTACTACTCACAAGTTCATTGGAGTTAAAAAATAATAGACCATTAGGTAATTCTCATAATTATTTGTTGGATGGCGTTTGATGGATACATAACGTGGAATCATTCACAATATAATGTATATTTATATTCATTCTCTGTCATTTTGTAAATCTTGAATTAGACGTCTTTCTTAACGTTCTATCTTTCCATCACATTTATCCTTTCTCTCACTGTATTCCACATGTTTAAATCTAAATTGCCTTTATGTTATTTTCCATTCTGTCCTTCTCGTTTTGTTGATTACCTTCCACTGTCTTGCAGTACTTATACTTCCTATTTTGTAAATTCGTCCTGTCTTCTCAAATCACATTCTCTATTTTCTACTACAACTAGCGCTGTTAGCATTTCTACTACTCTGTCTGTTGTCATAAGAATTTCATTTTGCTGTGCTAATCAGGTTTGGCAACTTAAACCGGTGCACATGCGTACCAGGTTACACCTTGTTTACCACTGGCTGATTCGAAACTCGGTAAAATATGAGAACCATACATTGAATACTTCATTTGCTAATCTCTTGTCATTTGTCCTTCACATTCTGTATGATTCTTCCAAGTTACAATTTCTTTATATTTCCTTTTCTGTTTTCCTCACGTCTAACTTCATAGCCTTCTGCTGCCATGGATTGCTATTATGACTGGTGTTACATTACTACTTATATCTGTCGACATAAGTAGTATACAACATAGTTCTCAACCAATAAAGAAACAACAAAACAAATTCTTCTCATTTTTCATGAATTTGTCACCCAACATTATTTCGTTTCAGTTACCCCTTTCCAATTATTCAAGGCCGTTCAACTGTACAATAAAAGCACTGCTAAGTAGTCCCACAATAGGAAGAAACGGCCGTCCAGTGCTTCCAAGTTTTCCATGGTGGTCTAGCTTCAATCGACCCATTATCTTGACTATTGAAAAATCATTTTACTGAATTTTATAGTTCCATTACGTATCATTTGTATGATTTTAACTAGTCTTTTAGATATATAGAAGCCATTTATTGATTATCTGTTGATTACTTTTCTTCTCCCCCATCTCTCATGTCCTATAAAAGTACAATCCATTATTCGCTGACTGTTTTTGGAACAGCAGCCTAGATAGTTTATTCCAGTACAGTTTAAAAATAATGACATCATGGGCTATTATGGTAGATGTTTGGTATTTACCACCCACTAGAAAATTAGATCAAGAAGATTCGATTGCATTTGCAAGACGTGTACAGTATAGTATTGCACAATGTGGCGGTATGATTGGAATGGATTGGTAAGTAGTTGATAGAATATCCTTTCTTTTTTAATCTTAACGTTACCTTTGTATCATCGATTAATCTCTAATCAGTGACTAATTTCGTGTTTGTCTGGTCTTTTTTTCCTAATCAAGCAATTTGAAGTTTTTCCACCGGCCTGAGTGACTTTATATCGCATATGCTATGTCAAGATACTGAGTGACTGAAGGTAATAGACAAGAAACTCAGGTTTCGTATTAGTCGGAACTCATCAGCAAAAAGCATCTGCAATCTTAGAGGAGCTAATCCTGTCTATGCAACCCGAGCCCTTATATCCCTCGCTCAGCGTTTGGGACGGCAGTTACGCTTTGCTGATGAGTCTCAACTATCGCGAAATTCAGACCCGGGGTTTACAGCAAATGACCTTTCATCATATATCACTTCTCTTTATTTTGTTTCTTTTTGCTACTAGCTTGCAATCTACTATGTTTTCAACAACATTTATGATTTCACTGGATTATACTTCTTGAATAACATCTTCAAACCCTAATCTTTCCGAGTATTGCTTATACTTTTATTACCTCTACCACTATGGGATTTGAATCGACAAGTGTATCTCTGTGCTAATGTGGTATGGCAACTTGATCTGATGTACGTACGTACGAAGTTCTACGTTGTTGCTGACTGGCTGACATTTAAGATTGATGTCTTACTCGTGTTTCAAAAATACAAACATTGAAGTGTAGAGATAATTGCATGTTGCAGTGATAATTTACATCAATATAAGTAGAATAGCTCACTAATCATATGCATAGCTTCACAGGTTTGTCCAACAGCTAGAATTCTAATTATTTTCTAAGGTAGACCACCACTGAGAACCGAAAAGCACAATCTCCACAAACCCCCATATTGATAGTTAAAAGTTAGCATGAAATGTAATTAGAACCACTTTTATTCTTACTGTTCAGAGTTTTATTCAATTATGTCTCCGATGTGGTACCATCTGAGGTGCTCTACACGTCTAGATATAGAAGACTAACAAGATAGAAAACTCCGCCCACAGCTCTTCTAGAGTTACTACCAGTCCCAAGCCCGGGTAAAGGAGGAAGGTTGGACATGGGGTTAGCGACCCCATCCTGTAGAAAACCAACTCGCTAAAAAAACGCTAACTAGAAAAAGTAATTCAAACCATTTAAACTCTGCCCTGAAAGTTAGAAGGTCTTCATTTAGAAGACTATGACGCCTCATGATGAAAGCCGAGTTCCTTCGGAAGCCACGAGGCCGATGCACCTTCTAACAACCAGAGCAACAATTTTTATAGGTACATAGAACGTCCGAACAATGTGGGAGACCGGGAAGACCAGTCAAATAGCAACGGAAATGAAGAGATACTGGGAATCAGGTAAACCCGTTGGACCCAAAGTTGAACGACAAATGCTAAATACGGAAAATATGTCGCTGTACTCCGGTCATGAAGAGGAAAATGCTCCACACACTCAGGGAGTTTCTCTAATACTGTCAAAAGTAGCACGAAATGCACTTGTAGGATGGGAATCTCACGGATCCAGAATCATCAAAGCATCATTCAAAACAAAGAAAAAGGGGATCACAATGAATATTATCCAATGTTATGCACCCACCAATGATAGCAACAACGACATTAAAGATCAATTCTACGAGCGGCTGCAGTCAATCATAGAGAAGTACCCAAGAAAGGACCTAACTATTCTGATGGGAGATCTAAATTCCAAAGTCGGAATAGACAACACTGGATATGAAGATATTATGGGACGACATGGACTGGGAGAAAGAAACGAAAATGGAGAAAGATTTGCAAATCTGTGTGCATTCAACAAATTGGTCATAGGAGGCACAATATTTCCACACAAGCGTATACACAAAGCTACATGAATCTCACGGACCACACTACAGAGAACCAGATAGATCATATTTGCATCAATAAAAAATTCCGAAGGACAATGGAAGATGTAAGAACCAAGAAAGGAGCTGACATAGCTTCAGATCACCACCTAGTTGTGGCCAATTTAAAACTGAAGCTAAAGAATAACTGGACAAGTGGACAAACAGCACTACAAAGGTTCAATACAGCCTTCCTTCGAGATACTGACAAACTCAATGAATTCAAGATAACTCTCAACAACAGGTTCCAAGCCTTACAAGATCTACTGAAGGAAGAAGAAACTAGTATGGAGGACAACTGGAAAGGCATCAAGGAAGCATTAACTTCAACGTGTCAAGAGGTTCTGGGTCTAAAGAAGCACCATCATAAGAAATGGATCTCTATAGAAACACTGAACAGGATCAAAGAAAGGAAGAACAAAAAGACAGCAATTAACAACTGCCGAACACGAACAGAAAAAGTCCAAGCACAAGCTGAGTACATAGAAGCAAACAAGGAAGTGAAGAAGAAAAGGAAGGAAATACGAAACAGATTTACAATACAACGAAGAAACTAGCAGGGAAATACAGTAAACCAGAGAGGCCGGTCAAAGACAAAGAAGGCAAGCCAATCACCGAAATTCAACAACAGCAGAACAGATGGGTAGAGTAGTTCAAGGAACTCCTGAATAGGCCGGCTCCAATGAATCTAGTGGACATCGAAGCAGCGCAAACAGATCTTCCTATAGATGTCAGTCCACCAACGGCGGAAGAAACCAGAATGGTCATCAGACAAATCAAGAACGGAAAAAGCGCAGGACCCGACAACATACCAGCTAAAGCACTGAAGTCAGACATCGAAGTAACTACAAATATGTTTCACCTTCTATTCAAAAAGCTCAGAACCAATTGAACGATTTGGACACAGCCCTCCTATTATTATTATTATTACTAATGGCTTTATTCAATATTATAGTTTTGGTACAATATAGAATTCTCAGCACAGGTTATTTCAACAAGTTACTTACGCAACAACAACAAAATACAGTAACGAATACAAAAAAAGGGAAAATGTTTTCAAAAAAAAGAAAAAAAACTGCACGACTTTTAGAATTAAGGACATGTTGAAAATGCAAGTTATTGACTAGGTTGACTCTAACAACCTGTTCGTCACAGAGTATATTTGCTAGGTAAGGTATTATAGAACTTTTATACTTTTGCTTGCGTGCATGGATTTTAATGTAATTACGTCTCGTTCTACCAGAAGATATACAAGGAGAAAGATAAGAGTGAAGGGGATGGCTAGTATCTGATAAAATAACACCTGCCAGGAGTTTGCATGATTTTAAATGTCTATCCACAACCATATTAATTATGATCTCGAAAGATTCACCACACGTCTTGCTGACTGCCTTCAGCACTCTCCGCAATACAGCAAAGTCTTTTCTCAAAAGCCCGGGAAAGAATAATGGAGAACAGTAAAGAATAATAGGTAATATGCAAGAATTGACAAATTGTAAGAGTAAATGACGAGTAATCCCAAGAGCATGCAATCTCTTTACGTAGTAGATCAGACGGAAAACCTTCTTTGATAACAATAAAACATGGGAAGACCAAGACAGATCAGAGGAAAAGGTGACACCAAGATAATTGACCTTCGACACTGTGTATATCATAGAGTCTCCGATGGAACAAGCATTATGGGATCTCAAAATGGTGTTTAGATTCCGTTCATGTCTCATACTAAAGTTAACAGCTTGACATTTAGACGGATTAAGTATGAGACCATCGCCAACAGACCAACAATCAATACGAGACAAAAACTCATTCATTTCTATGGAATGTAAAGAGGAAGAGATAGGCATACATACAGAAAGATCATCCGCATATTTCAAAAACGTGTTTTCTGTGGAAGATGGCAGATCATGCAGAAAAAAAGAGAAAAGAGGTGAGAGAACAGCTCCTTGTGGTACACCTTCATGAGACAGCAGAGACTCTGAACACTTTCCTCCAACACAGTGTACTGTTCCCTTCCAGAGAGGTAGGAACATAGCCAGTTGGTTATCCAGCTGTCAGTGTTGACGCTGATTAACTTGTTAAGTAAACGTTGTCTTGGTATAGAGTCAAAAGCTGAAGTATAGTCTAGAAAAGCACATCGAACATACTTCTTACCCTTTTCTAAGTTGAACACTATGTTGTGATGCAGAACTGCAACAGTGTCTAAAGTGCTTCTTTTGCGCCTGTATGCAAACTGGTATGGGTCAGTATGCTCTTTTATCGCAGGCTGAAGTGGAAGTATTAATAATTTTTCCATGGTTTTGAGGAAGGGTGAAGTTATTGCAATAGGTCTAAATTTTACATTCTTATCACCAAATACTTTCTTGGGTACAGGAATTATCTTCATCTTTCTCCACATTTTCGGTATGAGATTAGATGAGAAGGATCTGTTAAATATAGTTGTGAACGGATGACACAGAACGTCAGCACATTTTTTAAAAAGGATGTTTGGGATACCATCAGGTCCCAAGCATCGAGATGAATTAAGCGACTGGAGACATCCTCGTACATCAGTCTCAGTGAAAGTAGGAACACGGCTATTATTTAAACCCGTGGATAGAGGGAGCATCACATCAGATGACTGACGTACAAAAGACTTATTTAAGTCACAAACATTCAGCTGGTTATCGCTTCTAAACTGTCTGTCACCTGTAAGTTCTTTAAAGAGTTTCCACATACTCGGAAAGTTTTTGCAAGACAAGAGTTTTTGAGTAAACATACAGTTGAGACGTCTAATCTCTAGGTTTATCAGACCATTTAGCTTACGAACTTCATTAGAGTTCTTCTCCTTGTACATTCTTTCTTTCATCCTCCGTAGTCGTTTTAGTTGTGTAGATGTAAGTCGATCAAAACTTACAAAAATGGTTTCAGTGGGACAACAAATATCAAAACAGAATTTAAGGTAACAAGTGATAACATCAGTAGTGTTTTCGAGTGAGTCATCTGTAAATAATTCACAGTTAGTCGTATGAAACATGTTTTTCAGATTTCGGATATTTTCTTCTGAGTAATTCCTATATTTGACTTTCTTGGTTTGATGTAAGAGTGTACTCTTCCCATGCTTTCCATATACTGTAGGTAG